ATAGATAGATAGATAGATAGATAGATAGATAGATAGATAGATAGATACACCATTAAATTAGTACCATACCATTTTATTTATAAACCACTTAAAACAGCTACAAGGCCAACCAAAGTGCTGTACAGACAGAACAACAGGTAACACACAAAGCAAAATACAAAATGAGGTAAATCAGAATATAGACATAAAAACGATGCAGATAATGACGACAAACCGGTGTGGAGCATACAGGATCAAAACACAGATCATCTGGTGTTGAAAGCTCCTGAATAGTAGTGAGTTTTTAAACGGGACTTGAAAACCGAGAGGGAGGGGGGCTGTCCGACAAGCAGAGGTAACTCGTTCCAGAGTCTTGGTCCTGCTAGAGAGAAGGCCCTGTCACCTCTGCGCTTAAGACAAGTTCCTGGAACTGTGAGGATCAACTGGTCCGCTGACCTCAGGGAACGTGGTGGGACATACGGCTGTAGCAGATCAGAGAGATGGGGGGGGTGACACTGTTCAGAGATTAGTAGATAATATACACCATTGTGTGGAATTATTAGGACATGTCACATTTTATTCCACTCCAGATTTTTTTCAAACTTCTTGGCTTTTAATCATAGAAAAAAATCTTATTGATTCTTGTTTTATAATATCCCATCGTCAGTCTTCAAAGTGGTAAACCACTCCAAATCAGCGTTACTGGAGATTCCCAAATATCGGTGCGCTCTCATGTGCATGTGAGCATGTGCAATCTGCTGAGAAACACCCAGAAACTTTGGACCACTTACATTTATATTTATAAGGCAATGCAAAACAGGTCTTAATAATTCACAGACAGATTAAAATCAATGCTTTGCACTTCTTTTATAGTCCATTGCTTAAATTAAGTTAAAACTCAAAAATGTCCCCTAAAAATGTCTCTACCCAAATAAGGTATAGGCTATAAAGTATTGTTCACATTTCTTTTTATTTAACAGCGACATTAATATGTCCCTCCTAAAAGGCTGCATAATTTCTTTAAATGCAAATCCCATAAAACAGAGAAGTTAGCTGGCTTCAAAAGGCGCCTACTGACTTATAACAGCACACAAAAAGACACGTTTGCCTCTGGTTTCCTGAGATCACAAGCAATTACAACATTTTCTGCAGCTCCTGCAACAGTCAGGTTGCAGTTTTACATTCAAGTTTCACATAAAATAATAGCAACCACACAAAAAGCACCATCAATGCATCACTGTGTTGTCAATGCACAGTTTAGTACTCTTAATTTAGCGTACTTCTTAGTGCATATCTTAGATCTTGTTACTGTATTTCTTTACAATTTATACTTCTGTTGGCTGTAACTGGGACCCTGTGGACACAGTTTCATTCCACCACATGTACCACATGTGGTGCGAATGACAAACATTGAGCATGAACTGTTGGTGTTCAGCTTGAATAGTTTTGGATATTTTCTTAGCACGTTTTCTACCATCCTCACTGTTTTGCCCATCAACCTGGGGTCGCATGTCGCCTTGCATCCATGCACTAGGAGGCTGGCTGAAGTGCAACACTTTTAATAAAACTGTCAGGTGTGGACAGAGGAATGCGAATCTGCTTTGAGAAGGTATTGTAGTCTTTTCCTTTAGCATGGATAGCTAATCTTCTCCCTGAGCTCCTCAGACAGAGCTTCGTGTTCAGCTTGGTGAAGACAACCAGACCAAACACATTAGTTCTTTTTAAGTAGGCGAAATGGTTCTATAGGTCAAAGACTAAGTGTAAAACGTGATGATAATATAAGGATTAACAGCCTTTGTAAATTTACCAACACATCTGTTCAGACTGTTATAGCATTTCTTTGTAGATTAAACAACAAATAATTTATTTTCACATTTATGTTTGTTTACTCTGTCCCATACTGAAGGCTTGCATGTGTACGTTGGACAAATAGCGAATCACTTTTGAAGAGAAATGAATCATTGTTTCATTGAACCTTAAGGAAACCAACTAATGCATCCAAAACTGTATGCTATGCCGTGCCTCACTTTATGAGCTTTCAAAGGTGTGTAGTAGAACTGTGCACACAAAGTGTCTCAAGGCTTTTCAAAGTACTTCAGATATTTCAGCACTGCTTGATTGTCAAAGAAAAACTAGCTCACTGATTACTTTATTTCCTTGATTTCAGCTACACTTGGTTAGTATTTAAAAAAAATCATGGATCACCTAATTAAAGTAACAGTTTGTGACATACAAATTGCACATTTTTTCATACAGTTTATATATATATATATATATATATATATATATATATATATACATATATATACATATATATCTGCTCTGTAATAAATTGGAAGACACCAATATTTTTTTCAAATCAGCTTATGTGTGACAGCCATTCCATTCCAGTGTTTGTTGAATTTCCCCACAAGAACATTTCAGTCTGTAGTGGTCAGATGATCAACAGAACAAAATGTTATCTAACAAGAAAGAGTGTCAAACCCACTGCTGGTCATCATTAACCTGCTGCCAAAGGCTCTGGGTTGCAAAAACAGTGCTGCAACTCGGAAGTTCATTCATTCAACCTTTATTTAGACAGGTAATCCCATTGAGCCTCGAGGACTCATTTACAAGAGAGACCTGATTTCAACAAAGAAAGATGACAACAATGGACAACAGCAACAACAATAAACAGTTATAAAAAGTCATACTGCAGTTTTTTTTTGTTTTTTTTTTTGTTTTTTACAAATAGGATGGCTAAAAGAAAAAGGTAACAAAAAAAAAAACAGCTAGATTCTAAGGTGAATGTAGAAAACTAAAAACAGGAACCTGTCTGCATTGGTCCCTGCCAGGAGTCCAACAGGTTCTTAAAGCCACTTAAAAAAGTAACTGGAATACAAAATAACTGTTCATAAAGAGTGGACGAAAGTTTTGAGGGAGAGGAAAACAGCATTTAGTTTTGCCTTTACAGGCAGAAAGATTGGTTTTCAATGAGGTGCAGGTGTGGATGAAGGACCACCAGATCCAGATTGTCACAATCCATCTGAAAACGCCGCATCTTCTCTGTTATTTTGATCATTTGTTCTGAGGGAGACCAGGGACTGATGAGTCTAACCAGCCTCAGCAAGGTCATTACGCACAATGTTTCTGAGTCTCATCACGTCTCCTGGCGCCCCCGCTGCGACTCTGTTGTCTGCGCGCCACCGGAGCATGTCGGCCAGCGCCTTCCTGATCTCCACGCTCCGCAGCCCGTACACCAGCGGGTTGATGCACGGTGGCACCAAAAGCATTATCAACAGGGACACGTGAAACCCCGCTGCCGTAGCTGAGGGGGTGGGTTTGCATCCCCCCTGAGACTGAGAGGACAGCTCGATCTCGCCGGTCCCCCGGAACTCCCACAGCGCGTCCGAGGCCACTTTGATGAAGAGCGGCAGCAGCTGCAGGAACAGCATCCCGCAGTAAAACATGACGGTTCTGCGCGCCGTGTGGTTCACCTCGTCGAAAGGAACCACTGCGTTGCTCGCATTCTGGTACATCCTGAAGTAGGAGAAGGCGTGGGCCAGCAGGCACAGCAGCAGCGTGAAGGAACCAAAGACTTTCCGAAAGATGGCAGACACGCGCGGGGACCCCATGTGCTGTTCTATCATGTCCGGTTCGCACAGCAGCCCCATTATGACGTGCTGGTTCTTCTCCTCGTGCCCATTGTGCAGCAGCAGACTGATGTTGATGATCCCGATTGAGATGGAGTAGACCCAGATGAGGATCAACACTTTCCTCATGCGCTCCTGGGTAACTATGACCAAATAACGGAGCGCAAAACACACGTACAAGTAGCGCTCCAGAGCCATGCTGGTGATGGTGGAGAGGCTGGAAAAGATGCAGGCTGTCCCCAAAATGTACTGAAGGTAACACCAGGGGCTGCACGCCATCGTTTGGCGTCGGAGCAGGGAGTAGATGACCGCCGGACCGAAGGTGGCCGTCTGCAGGAAGTCGCTCAGGATCAGATTCTCACAGAGGATGAAGCGCGGCTGCCAGGAGAGATCATGAGACCTTTCGATGATGTACAGAGTGACCATGTTCACCGTGAAAGAGAAGAGAGTGAGCAGCGCAAAAACACTTATGAGTAACGGAACCGCCGCTTCGTAAGGGATCAAAGAGTGGAAAAGGTACCCGGCGGTGTCCATGCGCTCCTTTACGCGCGGCTCAGCCTGGCTGTCCTGAGAGCCGGCGCACTCTGAGATGTTGGGTGACTCCATAACGTTCAACAAGTTAAACAAGGAGATTCAGAACACTGAGATGTTGCAGCCACGCATGATAACTTGATCAATAAACGGTGCGTCTCAGTTAGCCTCCGTCCTTCTGCGTGATGTTGCCTCAGCATCACTGGTACCTTCATGGCCTGACCCGACAGCCCGCCCCTATACAAACACCAGCTTCATAAACACGCGCTCATTCATCTTTAATGCGTTTAAAAGACACAAAGGTCCACTCATAAACAATGAAGAATATTGATTCGTGTTTTAAAGTAATTGTGGATGTTTTTAGGAATTTATATTATTCACTTCAAAATAATAAAATAGATGAGGTTGTTTTAGCTAAATAAATGGAAATGCATTGTTAAAGTGAGTAATTTTGCATTGTGCATAATTTCTTCAAGATTTTCCCCTTAAAATATTATGATAAACAACATTGGGGTTTAATAAACTCGGAGAGCTTTCGTGCTTGTGCACGTTCTTTAATGCACGTAGTTGTTACACGCGCCTTTTTTCGTCTTCAGATACCAATATTGTGTTTTTTAATACTGCTTTTAAACTGTGTTTTACCATATTTTTTACAATGTTCACCTTAAAGTAGAATTGAAGCAGTAAAGATAAAAAACAATGATGCACGTTTTGTCCATTTTTAATTATATGTATGATGAAAAGACAAGTGAGCATGGAAGGAAAACAGAAAACAACAAACAGCAACAATATAATAAATACTCATTAACCTGTTTTCTTATGGACTTATTAAAATGTTTAATATAGTTTAAAATATTTTTAATACATGCAGTATATACAACTCCAAAGATTTTTGCAGTGATGGTCACACTACATCTGGTGGGAAAGATAATTCCTAACATCTTGCAAGAAAAAAAAGCATGTTGAATTAATCCCAAATGGTTTAAAGGTAAATGCAAAGTCCTAAACAAACCGTAAATTCAAGAATAAAATTTGTACTTTTTTGCTCACGTCAATAGTTAATGTGACTTTGTTAAAAATATGTGAGTATAATAATCAATGGTTGCCAGCTGAACTGAGAAGTGCTTTGTTTGAATTAGAGCTGCTGGAATAAACTCTCAAATTGCATCACTTGATCAAATGCAGAATAACCCTTTTCATGTTTGATTTCAGTTCTGATGTGCACGATGACAACAAGACTGCTCTCTGCTGCTCAAGTGCTGTACCTGCAGTTCACAGATCTTTCCTCAGAGGTTCACTGAAGCAGGAGAGAAGGTTGCAAATCACTTGAGAGCTCTGCTCCAAACTAAACCGAAATATTGATCAATTTAAACAAAGTTTTACAAAAAATTTTTATATTATATAGTTCATTCAGGTCTATAGGGACTGGACAAAATGGGAACATCTCTGTATCGAGAAGGACTCCAAAATATTTGTAATAAAACTGCTCAAAAACTCTGATTTGAGTTTGTGTCATTTCAAGGCCCTCTATGAATAAGGTTGAAGCTGTAAAGTCATAAAATCTCTAAAACTCCAGTCACAACAAAAATAATCCAGCTTAACCAAATTGTTTGTGTTGCTGTTTAAGTGGATGTTTATGTTTTGTGTCAAAATTGGTTTGGTGAGAAATTAAAAGTAGAGATTTAGAGAGGAAAAGCAACAGAGGAAGGGTAGAAAGGCATCGCAGGAGTAAAGTGATCCAGAGGGAGGGACGTGTCTGAAAGGGGGAGGCGTGATGGCATTCCTCCAGCCTTATTTAGACCGTTTGTCTGAAAGACCCAGCTGCTTCCTGAAGAAACGTCCAGAAATAGAATGTGATCGAGGAGAAGAATGTGGAAAGAAGATAGAGACAATTAAACATGATAACGTAAAGGACAGCATTTTTTTCTTGGTGTTTCCAGTTCTCTCTGACCTTTCCACGCATTGTTCCCCCTCTGAGGATCAGTGTTGGTGGAAAATCTTGGGCTGGGCAGACCATCAGCTGGTTCTGTCACTCAGGCAGGCTCTCAGTGAATGAGGTGACATAAGTCGGATGACTTGTAAACTGAACTTGCTCTGTAGCCCCCTGGGAAAGGCGAGGGAGGGGGGACGAAGAGGAGGTGAAGAAGGAAAAATAACAGCAAAACATTCAAAATAGACGATATGAACACAGGACTGTTGGGTCCAAACTGGTTTCATAAAACTTAAGCTCGTTCGTAGTTCTAATCCAAACCTACCAGCTGGTCAAACAAATTGGAATGAATTAACCTTTTTTTTTTTTCCATTTCATACTAGAGAACATTTTATAACAATGGACATTTTCATATCTGGGGTCACAGTGTTCAGATATTATTTTTCATGCACAGTTTGCAGCATCCCTTGAATGACGGCGCCCTGTTGGTCGGCTGATTAGACTGTCAGAAGTAATAACACTTTCTGTTCATAACTTTCCTTCAACTTTATAATTAACATCCTGAAAATAGGCTCAAAGTGCTACAGTGGAGTGGTAATTCACAAGCAAACCAGTCATATAGAGAATGACCAGTAATTTCCAAAGCTATTCAGTTCATTTACTCAGTGGGAATTTAGGTGTTTCGTTTCACTCCAGCAACATTAATCTATTGGCTTGTATCATGTTAAATCAAATAAAATTAATTTTTACAGCCCATTTAAAAGCAAAGCATTGTTTGTCATTTTTTGTGCTGCACACAAAACCATAAACAGTTAATAATATCCAACACAAGAGATCACACAAAAACAAAACGGTCACAGTAAGACTTAAAAAATAATTAAAATGCTGCAACTGTATTAAAAGCCAGTGAGTACAAATGTGTTTTAAGATTCCATCCATCCATTTATCCATTATCTTCCTCTTGTACCAAAGTCGGGTCGCAAGGGCAGCATCTTGAGCAGGGAGGTCCAGACATCTCTCTCCACAGCCACCTCTTCCAGCTCTTCTGGGAGGACTCCAAGGTGTTCCCAGACCAACCGAGAGACATAGTCTCTCCAGCATGTCCTGGGTCTTCCTCGGCGTCTCCTCCCGGTCAGACATGCTCAAAGCACTTCCCTAGGGAGGCGCTCAGGGAGCATCCTTATTAGATGCCTGAACCACCTCAACTGGCTCCTCTCGATGTGGAAGAGCAACGGTTCTACACCAAGTCTTCCCCGGATAACTAAATGTCTCACCCTGTCTCTAAGGGAGAGTCTAGCTGCAGAGGAAACTCATTTTAACCACTTGTATTCACGATCTCATTCTTTCAGTCACTACCCAAAGTTTGTGGCCATAGATGAGGATAGGAACGTAGACCGACAGGTAAACAGAGAGCTTCACGCTACAGTTCAGCTCCCCGTTTACCACAATGGACTGGAACAGAGTTCGCAAGATGGTGCACCAATCCAGTTGCCAATGTCATGCTTCATTCTTTCTTGACTCGTGAACAAAACGCCAAGATACTTGAACTCCTCCACTGGAGGCAGAACTTCACCCTCGACCTGAAGAGAACAATCCACCCTTTTCTTACAGAGGACCATGGCCTCAGATTTGGAGGTGCTAATTCTCATCCCAGCCGCTACACACTCAGCTGTGAATTGCTCCAGTGAGAGCTGGAGATCATCCCACGATGACGCCAACAGGACCACATCATCTGCAAATAGAGATGGAATCCTGAGGCCACCGAACTGGACTCCCTCCATCTCCTGGCTGCACCGAGAAATTCTGTCCATAAAAGTTATGAACAAAATTGGTGACAATGGGCAACCCTGACAGAGTCCAACTCCCACCCTGATGGGGTCTGACTTTCTACTGGCAATGTGAACCAAACCCTCGCATCGCTTGTATGGGGACCAAACAGCCCGTAGCAACTGGCCCCCAATCCCATACGGAACACCCCCCACAGTGTACCAAAAGTGAACCCCTTCTCCAAGTCCACAAAACCCAGGCAGACTGTATAATAATAATAATAATAAACTTTATTTCTATAGCACCTTCCAACAACGCCTTGCATTGACCAACGTGCTTCACAAGACAAAACAAGATTAAAAACAGGACACAATACATCAGTGCAAATTAAAAAACACAGCGAGAATAAAAGAAGGTAAAAGAGATAAAATAAAAAAAATAAATAGTAAATACTAAACTACTAAAAGTTAAACATTAAAAGCCCTTTTAAATAAGTATGTTTTCAGTTTGGCTTTGAACAGAACCAGATCAGAGATGGCACGCAGCTCATAGGGAAGAGTATTCCAGGCTGTTGGGCCTGCAACAGAAAAGGACCGGTCTGTATGAGAAAACTTCCATGACCCCTCGAGGACCCTAGTGAGGGTAAAGAGCTGGTTATTTGTTCCACAGCCAGAACGGAACTTGCATGGTTCCTCCTGGATCTGAGGTTCAACCAGTGCTCGGACTAGCTTCTCCAGTACTCCTGAAATACCTTATCAGGGAGGCTAAGGAGAGTGATGCCCATATAATTGGAGCACACCCTCTAGTCCCCCTTTTTGAAGAGGAGAACCACCAATCCAGTGGCACTGTCCCCCATGTTCATGTGATGTTGCAAAGGCACATCAAACCAAGACAGCCCCACAACATCCAGAGTCTTAAGGAAATCAGGATAAATCTCATCCACTCTCTGAGCCCTGCCGCTGCAGAGCATTTTAGATACCTCGGCTACTCAAGACATGGGTATCCACTACTGCGTTTGAGGATGGCTATTGTGAAAAGCATGGATAACCTTGCAGTCACAGATCAAGGCAGCCACCTCAACAATTGAGGTGCAGAACTTGGCCCACTTGGACTCAAGGTCCGAGTGCCAAGGCCCCTGTCTTCGACCCCGACCAATGGCATCATGCACCTGACCCATATGGCCCCTCCTGCAGGTGGCTGGTGCACAGGAAGGCAAACCCATGTTGCTCGTTCAGGCTGAGCATACTCGGGCCCATGGGTAGGAACCATGGTCATCAGGCACTTGCCAACAAGACCTTCTCCCTGGCCTAGCTGCGTGGTGGGGCCCTGATAACCCACATCCAGTCAAGGGACACAGAGTTCCTTGTTTATTTCAGTCCAAACAAGTGCGTTGAATCGCTCTTTGTCTGGCCTGCCACCTAAGAACAATCTGCCTTAGGAGACCCTACCAGGAGCATTTACAATTGCCCCTGAGAGCATAGCTCCTACAATCATTCAGGTGCACAAACCCCTCCACCACAATAAGGTGGTGATTCAAAGAGGAGTGATTTAATTTTATTTGCTTATTTAAACCTTTGTTTTACCAGATGGTTTAACCATCTTGTTGAGATTTTAAAAAATCTCTGTTTCAAGAGACAGGGCCAAGAATGACAGCAGCACATAAATATCTCCAATCATAAAAACACAGTTATCAAATCACAAATGAAACTAATCATTATAAACAGTAAAAATGAGAAGAAAAACAACAGTGAGAATAATGAACCCATAAAGCTAAAAATGTCTATTCCAATTACTTTACAATCAGATGAGACTTTAACACACCAATACATGTCTTCTGGGGAAATTTTGGTTTGTGTACTTGCTGATGAGGATGAAACATGTCTGAAGTGTGATACAAACCCAAAGTCTGAAGAAGGTAAGACACTGTGAAAAATGTAAAACTGAAGAGAATACAATTATTCACCAATCTCATAAACTTATTTATTCTCAAAGGAACATATGACAGTTATAACATATCAAATGCTGAAGCTAAATAAACAATCATAGATAGATCACATAGATAGATTACAAACAAAGTGGATGGATGGATGGATGGATGGATGGATGGATGGATGGATGGAT